CTAAGAGCAGGAAGCCTATTCAGACCAAGTTCAGGATGCCTCTGTTAAACTGGCAGGCATTAAAACCAAACCAAGTGACAGGCACAGTCTTCAACGAGCTAGATGATGAGCAAGTCTTGGGGGTAAGAATATGCTTTCTGCATTTTTTTTACATACAGCAGAAATTATATCCTGAAAAAAAATGAAATTCTAATGTGAGCACTCTCCCTGGCTTTTTTTTTGTCTACCTCAGGAGTTGAATATGGAAATGTTTGAGGAACATTTCAAAACTAGGGCCCAGGGTAACCCAGCTGACCTGTCCAAGGTTAAGAAGAAGATGACCTCGAAAGCCCCCACCAAGACATCTTTGATTGATGGCAATAAAGCCAAAAATCTGGCCATCACTCTACGCAAGGGGGGAATGAGCCCGGCCGATATCTGCACGGCCATAGAAATGTACGTGCTTACTTTTGCATTACGGACCTTCAGCAGATGTTTTTGCCATAATGGCATATTCTGTTCCTTCCTTCACCCTGCCTCTTACACTGTTTATTGCCTACACTAACTCTAACCCTCGTTTGTACAGGTACGACCAGCAATCTTTGTCCATAGACTTCCTGGAACTGCTCGAACCATTCATACCATCAGATTTTGAGATGAAGCTTCTTGCTAACTATGAGAAAGATGGCCGTCCACTGGATGAGCTGACCAACGAAGACCAATTTGTTTTACGCTTTGGGAAGATTCCTCGTCTCAACCAGCGAATAAACACTCTGACTTTCATGGGCAACTTTCCAGACAGCGTCAAACGGCTGCAGCCGGTCAGTCTGTTAAATGCTTTGTAACTTGGGCTGAAAGGGATTATAAACACATACTTACTCACATACATACTTCTTTTTTTTTAAACTCCACAGCAACTGAACTCCATCATTTCTGCATCCATGTCTCTCAAGTCTTCAACCAAACTAAAAAAGATCCTAGAGGTAAGTAAAACAGTATGAATGCTAATGAGGCATCTAACTGTAAGATTTGGTTCTTTTAACCCATTTATTTCCTTCCAGATTGTTCTTGCATTCGGTAACTACATGAACAGCAGTAAAAGAGGTGCAGCTTGTGGTTTCAGACTGCAGAGTCTGGATCTTGTAAGTAGTGTTTTGGGTTTTTTTTGTTTTTTTTGTTTGCTTTTCAATTTATGGAAGCTCAATTACATTTTTCACCATCTTCATATTTCAGCTGTTGGACACCAAATCCACTGACCGCTCACAGACGTTACTTCATTTCATCACCAATATTATCCAGGATAAATACCCAGACCTGGTCAACTTCCACACCGAGCTACACTTTGTAGACAAGGCAGGCCTTGGTACATGCACACACTCAGGCTGACCAATCAACCTTCTTTTTCATTTGATAAAAAGTTTAAACTCACTTGTGTTTCTTTGCCAGTCTCTCTTGACAGCATTCTTCAAGATATCCGCTCTCTAGAGCGAGGAATGGAGATGACCAAAAAGGAGTTCCTGGTGCAGGACGACAGCCCCGTGTTGAAGGAATTCATTAAAACAAATAGCGAACAGTTGGACACTTTAATCAAAGATAGCAAGACAGCACAGGTTTGTCTGAAGTTCTTATCAAGCTCTCAACTCTAAATAATGTCTCATCATATTCTGAAACGTATTCGTCTACTGTTCTGCGTGCAGGAGGCTTACGGCTCTGTGGTGGAGTACTTCGGAGAGAATCCTAAAACCACGCAGCCCTCGATGTTTTTCCCCATGTTTGGGCGCTTCATAAAGGCCTATAAAGTGAGTTTCTGTGGTAGCTTTCTGATATTTGTCCTTTATAACTCGTGAGCTATATTTTAATCCTCTGTCCCTTGTCTGAATGCAGACGGCACAGCAAGAGATTGAACAGAAGAAGAAAATGGAGAGCGAGAGCCGTGAGGTTAAAGAGTCACCATCTCCAAACAAGGCTGGACCACAAAAGGTAAGAAACTATACATACTGCTAGTGTGTAGTCATCTGTAGGGTTTTTTTTAAAGCCTATATGTAAAACATGAGTCATTCAGAAATGTACTTTAAAATATTCTTTAACTTTGTGATTTCTAAAGGGCCCAATGATGCCTAAGATGCCCCAGATGGACCTGATTGCAGAGCTGAAGAAGAGGCAGGTGAAACCGCCAGTACGTGAGGGGAAGGACGGTGCACTGGAGGACATCATCACAGGTACAGTAACATGCTTCTTGCTTGAGAATCATTTTTAGTTTGTCTGCTGCAGTAGTTGATGTTTAAATAAAGGGGAAATTCCATCCTCACGTTTATGCACGTCTTTGTTTTTCATTAGATCTGAGGAACTCACCATACAGGCGGGCAGACGGTCGTCGGCCAGCCCAGCGCCAGGACACTTAAGCCAGTTTTTTCTTTTCTTTACAAATTTCCTTTTGTTAAACAATTGTAACTGGAATTACTCATTAAAATTCAAGCAGAAGACAGGTTTTAAACCTTCTGTATATACGATTTTGTTACAATTAGCCATATGGCAGTGTGTATTAACGACATATTAGTGTCATTTTGCTCTGTAAATATAAAGTTGGAAATATTTTAATAATAAACAGTCCATAAACTTTAATTGAAATGTTACAGAACATAACCATTTAAGTATTTCTAATGGCTTTGTATTAAACTTGTATTACTGGTATACTGTTACCCATTCAGTAATAAAAAATACTTTGTTTTTAAAAGAAACCATTTTTTAACCATTGTGATCATAGTCTCAGAGGTCTGTGATTACTGGAGCTGTCATATATTGCAATGTTTGATATTAGGTTGAGCAGGCAAGCCATATACCACAGGACTATTGCAGAGGCTTTGGTCTGAACCCACTCAGGGGCATTTGCTGCCTGTCTTCCCTTTCTCCCAGCTTTCCTGTCATAATAAAGACTAAAAAGCTTCACTTGCTGACAAGCCAGTTTAAAGCAAGATCAGACACTACGACTGTACAAGAGAGCTGCACTTTATTTGACACACAATCACAGCAACTTATGTACAAAAGAAGGCAGGTTCAACTGCCTGCTGTCTTCTCACAGGAAAAACACACACATTTCTCACAGAATATCATGGCATCCACACTGATAAATTAGTATCTCCAGTATCAGTAGGCTTTTAAATTTATGTATCATTATATCATAGATCTATTTTTCTGTATTATTTTTGTTCTTATATCACACTACTCTACAAATGGGAGAGTTACTCTGTGGAAAGAGGACACCATCACTGGTGACTTCTCTGGTTGGGGTGCGTTCAAGCATTCCTGACTCCTTTTCGCACTCTCAGCCACTATCATCATTGTCACATAACGTCACAGTAAGACTGAACATGCCCGTGTCACACATACCAAAATAATGTCTCGTCCTTCATGTTTGTAAACCTATAACATAGAACCCTTCTCTGCTTTATTCTCACATTTCTGAGAAAACATGTAGACAACATTTTTTTTTTTAAATCACCGTGCGATTGCTTGAGACTATACATGCATTGTTTTGTATATACCTTTGTACCCATCGTCATAGTTTATTATTTAAACATCTTCTTTTGGACATAACAATTTGTTGAACTCGCTAGGAATGACTTGGCCTATTTACAAGTCAATTTTGTTTTTCTACTTTTGATGCCAAGAGTTTGGAACATCCACACATTCATGTAAAAATCTCATATACATACTATAGAATGTAGATTCATTATATTTTAAAAAAAGATACAATGGCAAAAGAAAAGATAAAAGGTATAGGTCATAAAACTCCACATAATTTCCTTATTAATCCAACTTTCTGTTTTTTTTACATTTATGGTTTAGCATAACTGCTATGTAAAGCCACTCAGAGGAACAGGTGGAGCAATATAAGCAACAAAAATGAGCTTCCACCTGCCTGAATCTGTCTGCGCTGAGGATCCACATTCCTGCCATCCCTGTTCACAGCCAAGCATGACACAGAGATAAATTAAAGCCAAGTAATATTCCTTTTTTTTCCAAAGCAGCAAGGCCTTGTATGACGCTTTCAGGCCCACAAACTCACAGTTACAACATCTGTTTCCGACCATCTCCAGTATCATTTATACCAGGTCAATCATCACGACACAGAATGGGGAGAAACGAAAAAACTAAATTAAAAATAAAACAGAAACTGATCACAGTTACAGAAAAAAGTACCCTTCCCAAAATAAAACAACAGTAGCAAAATAAGCCCAACACACAGGCACTGGTCCAGCCTCTTATATCTTAAAGTGACCTTTCACATAAAGAGGCAAAGGTGTACACGAGTGGACGAGTATTTTCAGGGAAAAGCTTTTTTTTGTGTGTGTGTTTTTTCTTTACAAATTAAAATTACATAAAATCTAACTTGGTGTTCGTAAAGAAAATTTTAGAATTTAAAAATGAACTAACTTCAGAGTATATTACAGAGGCTAACTCTTATCTATACAGAGATTTTAAACAAATATAAAAATGTTCTGCATATGAATAAATAATCTCAGTGTGAAATGCAATATCTCTCAATGAATTAAAAAAAGAAAAATCTGTACAAAATGATCACTAATATATAAAACAGAAGATATGATGACATTTTACAGTATATAATTTAATCTAGGCCTATATATATATATTTATATATATATATATATATATATATCACATTTTCTTCACAATTATATTATCATACACAAACATCTCACTTAGATATATTTATATATGTATATTTCTTCTATGTTTCATTTCAAGTTTGAGTTTTTCTGATTGCCAGAGGCATCCGCTGTGAGTTTTTTTCGACATGCCCTCTAAACCTCCAGCCATGTTGAAATCACAGCCCGCTAACACTTGCCTTGAAAAAAAAAAAAAAGTCCAGAGAGCACTGTCACGCAATTCTGGGAGGGTTTCATTTCAGACTTTACTTGGGGGGGAAAGCAGCCAAGCGTGCATGCTTCCTCCCCATTGCTCACCAGACGCAAATGCAGCAAATTTAACTTGGAGAGTTATGGATTTGAGTGTGGAACAGCATGAGTAAGTGAATTTCTTTCATTTGACTTCACTCAATATGAAACCCGGGGCTTGAACCTGCCTGGCAGAGCTACAGAGCACCCAGGGGTGAGACTTAATTCGCTGTGCTGCGAGCTTGCGGTTGTGCACGCTGTTAGAGCTGGGGAGTGTTTAGTCAAATGCCACTGCTGCAACCTGACACACTGCATTTCAAGTGCCGTTTTCTTTTATCTGCAAAAAATGGGAACAAACCAGTTCTCGCAGCTTCTTCTTTGGGTAAAAGGGTTATTCTGTCATTGCTGCTGATCTACTACTGTAATACAAGATCATTTGGGGGGGGGGTTCTGGCGGGAGCAACGTCTTAGAGGCACTGGGAAAAACATGGTTACAGGTCCTTGTAGATAAGCAGGCAGGAGTATGTCAAAGGCAAAGAGCACTGCCTTGGTAAAATCGCAAGAGCGCTAATTATATATTGCACACGTTCATAATTGAGGCTCGTCAAACTTTGTTCTTGGATAACATCAGCTGAGCACTTTTGACTTTCAGAGCTCCTTCACACCAAAGAATGCAAAGTGAAGAGGGCAGGGAAAGAAGTGCCCTCTGGCTGTCAGACCCTTCCTCTCATCTCTTTGGGTCTTTTATTTCACAAGCGCTCTCAATGGATACAGGACGAGTCAAAGCCGGCCTTATTAAAGTATCCTTCAAACACATGTCCCCAAACTAATCCCCTCTCCTAAAGCTGCCTACTCTTTGACATGAGCCCCTTTTCGCATGTTTTAAACCTCAATGCCACAAAGCATCGATTTCACACAGTCGTGCTGGAGAACCACTGAGAAGAATCACTTTGTCGGTTACGGTCCATTCAGCTTCTTCACCTCCCCAGCAGGCTGCCTCGAGGCAAACACGCAGGACAGGCAGCTTCCAAAGAGGTTCCTCGTGCAGGGTTCACACTGACACACCTTTGATGTGCTTGAAAATAATCCCAACTTGAGTTTCTATCATTGAGAAACACTGAAGGCCTTCATTCATAAAAGTTTCATGATTCAAAATGCAGGTAATATAACTGGAGCGATACTTGGAATCTAATGTGTAGCATATCAAATGTATATGGGAATGCTTCGACCTTTGTGCTTGTCATAATTAAAAAGAATTACAAAGTTAATTCTCGTTAATTGGGGATTTTGTGTTTGAGAGTCAACTGTGCTTGCTTTAAATTTCAATACTTTCCTCTCGTGTCGCTCTTGGTTTGTAAGACTCACTTTTAGGCTTTTTGTGTCATCTGCTCGTCTACAGAATGTGTTATATTTTACAATAAGGCCTAAACTTTGATGTGAGTAGTTTTGAACTCAAGTATCCCAAAAGAAAGAACCTATCAGTCTGTAGATCTGGTGAGATCAGATTAATATGGCATAATTTACCAGAGTGCTCTTTATAAGTGGTGAAACAGATGTGACCTACGATGATTATTCACATGAGGTTGGCTGAAGAAAAAAATAAGTGAGTCTGTGCTGTACAGGTTGCTTTTTCAAGTGTGTGTGTGTGTGAGAGAGACTGTGTGTTTGTGTGTTGTTCTTCAGTGTGTGTGCTTAAGTCTTTGGGATGGGTTGTGATGTCAGGCTCTGTAATTCCAGAGCAACCTAGAAGATGCTACTGTGGAAACATCCTGATTGTCATAATTAACTAGTTAATACACACATATGAAAACCAACATTTGAATACAATTCATCGTTTGCACTTTTCCCTTCTGTTTGCGAAACCGTGCCTCTTTGTCGTTTCTTTAAAAAGACTTGTGCTATTTCAGGACTGCTGCCTTCTCTGCATTCTTGTGAATGCGCTGCAGTTTCCAGTTTTCCAATTAGACATCTACTTTAAATGTCCCTAATTGCTGATGCAAGTATTTCGCTTGTAGGGTTGTAAATATAGATTAAAATGCAAAATTAAATTAAAGCCGACTCCGAGACAGGAGGGGGAGAACAATTGTGTAAGCTCAGTTTGCACAAACAGAGGGGAAAACATAGCACCAGTTTAGAGTTTAAAACAGGCGATTTTAAAAAAGCCACAAATGCCCTTTTAACACTAAACAGCTTGAAACCTCGTTCATCACCTTGGCCACCTTCTGATTTTTTGAATTTTTTTTTTTTTTGTTTTCCGAGTGGAATCACATTCTGTCAGGTGATGCAGGTAAGTCAAAACATTACTATCCTGAACACACACAACTACTGAACTCACTTGGTGATTATTGCAGCTTTTTTCTATATGATCAAAGTCACCGTCTAGATATTTCAACTATGCCACTAACAACCCACTGAGAGTATGTATGTGAGAATGGTGCTGTCAGCAAATACAGCCAGACCACATCAGCTTATAGCAGGTAGCTGGTGGGAGGGGAGGCCTGTTTGTGCACTTTCTATCTGGGAAGGTGACAGAATGACTTTGTGGGAGAACTGCAGTAGATCTAAGGTACTGGATCAGAGTAGGAAACTTGTCCGTGAAGAAAACTGTGACTCCATTTACACTGTGGTAGACTGTGCAATAAAAGGAAGCAGAAAAAAAACAAGAAAAGAAAAATTAAAAAATCTTATAAGAACTGGAATATAAAGAATATTGTTCCATAATGCAGCTAGTTCATCTTTATGGTTCATGATGTGATGGTTGTGGTTGAGAACTGTATCCTTATAAGTCCTTATCCTCCTCCTATTCATCACTTGTTGCCAGGGTAAAGGTCCTTTTTCACAGGCTTGTTGCCACCATCCTTGGACCTGTTGAGGCTGGAGCTGTCGAGGCTACGCCTGCTGGGCTTGAGAACTCCAGAGGAGAAGGCAAAGGAACCAAAGGTGGGAGAGGAGGGAGATAGGGATGGAGTCGGGGTGCTTGGCGAGGATGAGGAGGAGGAGGTAGCAGTTGGAGTAGGGGAGGAGGATTGGCTGCTGGGCAGGGGCAGGGAGGAGGCTCGCTGCTCACGTAGGAGGCGGTGATGACGAAGGGCGGAGGAAAGGAGCAAGGCCTCAGCGCTCAGGCCGGAAGCAGATAGGCTTGCCAAGAGGGCCTTTGCTTGGCTTGAGGAGGCTGTAAGTGCAGGCATCGCCCCCTCCTGGGGGTACTTCCTCAGACCAGGAACAAATGCTGCCGCAGGAGAGGCCACTCGGCCTGACAAAATGCCCGTTTTGATACCAGAGAGGTATGGCTCAATGCTGCCACTGGTGCTGTAGGTCCCTTTCGCCTTCAGGTAGAATAGGGACACAGAAGACAGGAGGGAGCAGAGGAGGAATGTAAAGAGATGAGGTTTTCAGGGGTCGAAGGGAAAAATCATGAAAAATGAAAGTCTTAAAATTGGTTGTGGTTGGGTACTGTGCCCTGCAGCACCTTCCCTTACTATTACACTCAAACATTTCTGCGCAAGCATGCTTGCACACGCACACGCACACACAGACTGGGTGTCAGACCATAAATCAGAGTAAACATTGGGGATATGAAAGTAGTTGATAAGGTACAGGGAGCAGATGGTTGTGTGTATCTCTGGAGTCGGGTGAACAGGAGAAGAAGGAAACTGAGGATGCTGGACACGGACAGGTTGCTCACTGCTGCAGGTTTTATAGGTAGGGTAGATGGGCAGGCCAGGAGGTGCAGGGCAGCACAGGTTCACACGGGGTGATGGGGTAGGTGAGGTTGCACCGCAGGAACAAGTGTCAGAAGAAACATGTAGTGAAGGGGAGGGGAGTGAAAACAGAACAGGAAACAAACACAGGAAATTGTTATTCAGGTTGATATCAGATTGTGTGATGCAAGCCACGACACAGGCTGCCATCTACACGTGATAAACAAAATCACTGATACCACTGAGAAGGTGCAACAGTGACACTGTTGACCACCTTTATTTTGACACTTGTTTTATTAATGTTGACTCATTAAAAATGTACACATTCACTTTCAGTCCTTTTGTGTAATGCAGAAATGAGACAGTAGATGGCACTGTTTCAACAGTGGATTGAGACTTGTGAGCAATACGTTTACAACATGTATTGGTCTGTCTTTGTTAAGGAGACTACATCTGAGAGAACATTTTCTGTGTTTCATGTGCAAATCCATTTTTAAAAATGAAAATACTCATTTTTCAATATATGGCAAAAAATGTATTTTTGTACTTTTCAGATGAAGCAACAGGAGAAAAGTTGATTTCTGTGGCTATAAAAGTTTTACTCTGTGTTTGTTTTGGGTTTACGGGAATTAGTTCTGCTTGAAAAGACAGCAGGTGTGCTAGTCTAGACTGCACTGCTGGGAGGCTTTCATCTGCTCTGTTGCAGCTCCAGATCCTGGGCTGCCAACCGTTCCCAGAGAGCCGGGCTGTTCCTTCTGCTCAAGGAACTCTTCTCAAGCCTGGTGGACGCATTTTTTCCTGATCTGCGAGTACAGGAGAGCACCCCTTCATCTCACGCACTCAGACCTGCCTGCCAAATGATAACCTCCATGGATAGTCCCCTACTAACCCCAACTCATGCCCAACACCTTTAACTAGCCTGCTTTACTGCCAAAAGTAATAAGTGCCCAAATGGGAAATGGAAATAGGGTTTTGCAGCGTGAAAGTGATTCACATTGTCATGCCTTCCTTGATCTGTGCCAAAGCAAATGGAGAGAAATTGTGGCTTTGAACTGTCTGTTCTTATCCAACACATTGATTTGAAGGATCCTCATGCCTGAAATGGTCTAAGTATGTCTCAGTATAGCTTTATTGAGCAAGCAGCCCGAGTACAGCGGCACGAGGCGCTATCAGAAAAGCTCTGTTAATTTTAACACCTGCAAATACACATAGATAACGCTAGAATTAAATCTAAAAAAGAAACTAATTCTCCAGGGGGAATAAAGCTACATTTTATACTGTGGTAAGGTGTAGCAAGTCCATTACGAAAATCTGACTGGCCAACTTTATCCCTACCCCATAATTCTAATTTATGGTGATTGAAATGCCGCAATGTTCAATCAGTATTTATTCTTGAAACGGCAGGACCCGCTTTTAATGCAAAAGTGGTCTCGTTTTATCTTAAAAATAATAAACTATCCTTCCAGCTGGCTTTCAGTCGTGACGAGTGAATGAACACCAATTGCCTTTCATGCAATCTGGAGGAAAGTGTCATTGTGCGGTAAAGATATTTAAATGTATTCAGATATTTAGGTCTATTCGTGTAGTAGCTGGATCAGGGGACAGCAGACCATCAGGAGACTCTGAAGTGCTGTCCTCGTTCCTTGGGTTTGGACCCTATTTAAAATGCCCCAGAAATGTCATTACGGTTTGGCAAGAAGAGACAAAAGAGAACAATCTAAAAACACCAAGGGGAAATGGAAGGAGGGGTAAAAGTTTGGGACCATTTAGGGAGCTATGAACAGCAGATGTTTATGAGGATAGCCTATTTTACCTTGAGTTCGGTGCCAAGGAGAGAGATCACCCAAGCTGGGCACATCTGATTGTTAAAACAACAATATTTTTTAAAGATTAGCAGTTAATTTGGTGGTAAAATGTTGATGGGAAGCACTGTGATTAACTGTAGTCATTGCCACATTTTACACAGTTCAAAAATATCAGCTAAACTTTAAGGTTTCATAAAATTAAAGAATACATCATATTTTTGTTTTTGCTTAGCAGCTGCAAGTTGAATTTCTCTTCAGAAAGATGACATGCCAGATGTCACTGAGGGGTTTAAAAAAAGATACCAGGTAAAGTAAAATGTAGATTAGGCAAAAGTTCTTAATTAGCTCTTAAAGGCAGTATGCAAATCAGCACAGCCGCCTTGATAATTTGATGAGATGAGCAGCAGATAATCAGCATGTTTTTTCCTGCCTAGTCTTTGCTCAGCTGTTTCATTACACTGAATTTAAAATGATTTAGTAGATAGATTTTGCCCCATCCATCTTTAAACTAAATTATCAGGCTCTGCTCCATTTTCATTTGACATAAAAAGATTTCAAAAATATGTATAGAGCTAATGATGCAAGGACATTCAGATAGACAGATAAGTATCACTAGTATAGCCTTAATTCAATTATTCACCAATTTCAACTCTTTTATAGTTTTGTTGCTGTTATATCAGACCTTTTACAGTAAACACAGTCTGACAGCAAGTAGAGCAAAAACTGTGTTGCACTGATATCCATCCATTTATTTTCTTCTGTGAAACCTATGAAACCAAGGGGAGAACATGCAATCGCTACACAGAACGGGCAGTGGAACCCTAGAACCTTCTTGCTGTGAGGCAACAATGCTAACCACTGCACCACCATGCTGCCTTGTTTACTGATTACATTATTACAATGACAAAAATACAAAAAACCCCAAAACACTTTCAAGTAGCTGTTTTTTAAGGAATGAAATTTGGTTGAGAGTTATTTTGTTATGGTTGTAATCAGATGGCCACAGAGTATTGTACATGTACATGCAAAAAATTTATATGCAATTTATCCACATTGCAGCATGAACTGGTAATGGTAACCTTACTTATAGGGATTGTCGCAGTGCATAACAAGAGCAAGGGGTCACAACAAGTCTGCCTCACAGCAAAATTTATTTCTGAGTTTCTTTTTCCTCCCTCCAGCTACAGCTCTTTGTTTTGTTTTATTAGATAAAAAGATAAAAAGACAATTTTTGTGCTAAATTTCCCCCTGGCAGCTTCCTCCCACGGTCTAAAACATGCAGGTTAATTAGTGTTTCTAAATTGGCCAAAGGTGTGAATATCAATGGCTGTCTGTCGCTCTGTGTTAGCTTTCAAGTAGACTGGTGACATTTTCAGGGACTACATCACTTCTCTCCCGATGACAGCTGGGAGAGGCTGCAGCACCCCTGCAACCCTGAACTGCATGAAGAAAATAGACGGAAGAATAGATGGAAATTTTGGCTCTGCTAGGTAGTTGAAGAAGAATGCTCGGCAATGTTTATGAAGGAAACCGAGCATATAGGGAGGTAATAGTGCAGATGTATGCACAACTTTCATGATAGAGCTACTTTGTGACCAGTAGTAGAGGTCCAGATTACACGTAGCCAGTGTTTATTTCCTCAGTGATTGTTAACTGTGCATCAAAACTGTTGTCAAACTGCCAGTTTGCACATTTACGCAAGCCCGTTTGTAAATGTTCATCCATGAGGATCGCCACCATTAACCCTCTCCAGGCAGACGTTGCCGATTTGCAACAGTTAAAAACTAACAACCTGATTACCCCACATACATATTTTATGAGTTTTTTTTACTCAGAAGTATCACTGCAGGACTTGGTTGTGCATTAGCAACAAAAAAAAACTAATTTGAGCCTGAGAGGGTTAATGAATGTAACAGGAGCTCAACTAGTGATAGTTAGAAGCATGGATATTTAGGACAAGTATCTGACCAACTAACCTCTTTAGCCTTAAAGCAGCTAACAAACTATGGCCGCATTTTTAAAAATGGAGGCCTACCAACATTTTAACATCAATTTAATAAAGTGGCCAATTATTATATCAAGTGCACTTTTGCATTGAATAATTGTTTTTCACTTGTCTTTATACAACACCTGGAAATGTACATGGACTAGTAGTCCCTCATCGTTAAAAATAATACAAAATAGAGTTATTGGCTGTTGTAGCGCCTACCACAGCTGACTCTTTATACTCCTACACTAAACCAGCTGGTTATTTGTTCCTCTTTGTTATTCATCACACAGTTGTGGTATGCTGCTACCCTTAACTGCTTGGCACCGACTTCCCATGCCGACAATTAGCTTTGAGTGTCCACCGTCCCTCGGAGGATAGCGCTTTCACTGGTACAGCATCTTTTCACAATGACTGTTTTGAAGTTTGTTGGACAAAGAGACCGTGCTGCCTGTGAGTGTCATACTGAAATAATGGGATTAATTTTGCTTTCATTACACAAGTGTAGGCATCCACTCAGCTTCCAAATCTCGGGGAATGAGCGAGACTGACAGAGGAAGAGTGAAACGGAGAAAAGGCCAGCATGCATAAATTGCAGAGTAGTCAAAGCGGAAAGGGGAAGAAAAAGACATAAAGAAGAGGAAACCTGAAAGACTTTATGGTGGAAAGAGAACTGCCCTCTTCATAATGAATAATCAGTGATTGCCAGTGACTCAAGGGGTGATTATTACATGGCTCTGTAGAGATACTTCTCAATCTTCTCTCAGTATGAGGCAACCAAAGCCCCCCATGTCTCAAGTCTCTGGCTGTCTGCCTAACGCATTCATTTTTCAATCTTTAAGACTGAATTTGTGTCTGAATGCTCTGTCAAATTCTGTGGGTTATGAAGGTTTAGGTGCACTTCACTGCTTCGGTTATTTTTCAAATTACATTGACATTAAGCCTTTTTCCCCTCCTGTGCACCGGCGTGCTGTAAAAATCTTCTCTTGGCTTTACTTGACCGACATGCTCCAACAGTTCAATTTCCTTGCCTCTAGAGGCCATCTAGCATCCTTATGTCCAGTCTTTTGCCGTACTTTAAACCTCTAAAATGCCAGCATATTAGAAACGGAAAAAAGAATGAAAAGCCAGCTGTCAGGCATATGCATAACAACAAATACTTAGAGAGAGAGTTTATGAAGTTTTATAAATTAAACTCAAGCACTTTTAAGAGTTTCTTCATACCCAATTTTCTGTCAGAGTTCAGAAAAAAAACCAGAAGTGAAGACCTGTTAAAGATGCAAGCACGTCCATAATGCTAATACATAAAAAAACACTTTAATAGGTTTAAATTATATAATTAGAAGCCACTTAAGACTTTCAGACATGAAACACTGCTTAGGTAATTAAAGTGTTAATCCTTCATCACTCTAACCTGTGTGACATGCATCTCTCTGTGGGACAGTGCCTGCAGAAAATCCTTTGATCCAATTGAGCATTCCCGTGATGATGAGCCTGTCACAATAATGTGGCATTAAAAAGTTTATGATTGTTGGCAAAACTGGCTTTGAATTCAGTTCATCGCTTCTGCTGTCTGTTAAGTTTGCATCTTGAATGTTACACAGACTGTAATACACAGAGGGCGAGGAATGCATCACGCTGAAAGGTGACAGTGGTTCTGCGGGGCACAAAAAGGATCGAGTGGCAGTGAAGAGTGGTAGTTAAGGCCCATTTAATCTTGATCTAGTGCAGAGTGGATTACGGGAATGGATGCACAGACACTTGCTTTCGAGAAAATAACTCTGAACGAAGGCTTGCTGAAGTTGTTGGGGAGGTGGTGTAAACATTAACGCAAAATGTGTCTCTATTTGAGGAACAAAGCAATTAAATTGGCTTAAACACAGAACAAAATCAATACTATCCTTTCTATCTTGATTTTTGGTAGGCCCAGATTTTTGCACTCAAAAAAATATTTATGCCCAAAATGCTGATTTTAACTACATAAGTATAATGTAAAAGAGTAAATTTAACAGAATCTGGTCAAATTAAATGTATTTTATTGGTATACATTCAGTATATATGGCATTTTCCCCTAATAATTAAATACTTCAATAAATAAACCTTTGATTTTATATATTTCAGTTGCATTTTACTAAGAATGATAGATGATTCATATTTCTCTTTGAACCTCTGACAGCTTCAACTGTAGTGACTCTGTGGGCATAAAGGCAGTACAATTCGATAATAATCATTATTGTAATTTTCACGTTTTTTATATCTCCATTTTGTACAAGCCTTCATTAAGTGCTTACGATGGTTATACCTAAAAGCCACTTGTCCATCTTAGGGATCATGCACAGACACTGCCAGATCAAGTGCGTTTTGGCCTCAACAGCGCAAAACATAAAGGCAAATTGTACCTGTTGCTGGCCCTGGACCTTCATGAAGTCCTCTCTTTTGCCACTTTTAGTCTTTTCTGTGCTGTTTTGTTGCAGGTGCTTCAGTTTGGAGGCAGCCGAGGAGTGGAGAAACTTCCCGCTACCTGAAATAGTTCCTCCCTAAGAATAGAATAAACAAGAGAAGAACAGAGGAGAACCATTAATAACACTTTGTCACACAGCAGATGTCTGTAGATTTCACTTCCCCTCTACAGCGTCTTCGATTTAAGCCTCAGACACACATCTACTTACTACAGAGTTTGAATCCAGCCTTTATCAAGTCTTTCTCTTGAGACTAATAAGGTTTTTAAGACCTCAGCTTATAGTTGGTATAAAATGGAACTATCCACTTCACAGAGTTTCACTATCTATCAGCAGAAGATGACAAAGACCAGAATATAGAAATGCGGCATCAAAACTGACGTTGCGTAGCTTAGCCTCACCACAGGATCCACTAGGCAGCATGCTTAATGATCTTTCCTGCTGAGTTACTCTATTGACTCTCTCTAATACACAGAAAAACAAATACACATCCAGTCAAATTTCCATCCAACTGTGCCTCATCTGCACACAGAGACATTAGCTGAAAGGAAAACTAACAAAAGATTAACCCTAATATCAAATAGTCAGTTACCCCTACTACATTGAATCAGAGAAGAAAGACTTGTAACCACCTTCCTTCTGCGCCAAATCCTTTTTTAACGAGAAGCAGAATTTAAAAATTAGATCATAAAATTTACAAGTAAACTTGCTGTTTGATGTGCTAATTAAAAACTAAACTCTAATGGGTTCTGAAAGTAGATTTCGTGTCAGTGTGAATTTGGTAAGTGCGCCAGCAAATGTTGGACACGAGTTGGAAGAAGGGTCATGTTGAAATGATGAACGTGGTTGAAGTTGGAGTGATGAAATAATGTGTGAAGACTCTGTAATCCGCAGCCGTGCCCATGGGAGTGCTTTCTGGCTCTACATCAGAGGGCTAAAACTCACCATGACAGTGTGACTGTCAAGTATTGCAGCCCTGCCCTGAGTGGTAGGCTACAATCAGAGTAACAGGGAGTGCTACGCGAGCTGTCGAGACCTCTCAGACGAGTGGCAGCTGACACAGGAATGCTTTTGATAATTACTAATCTTTTGTTGTGTAGCGGTGAGCTGGAGGTGAGCTAAAGCCAGGCCACTGACAACATCTGGTAATAGAGTTCAACACATAGTCAGTACATATTAATGTGAAGTATATTAGAAGTGATACTAGGCTTTGGTAAGAAATCTTTTGTTTTTTAAACTTATTAGATTGCATTTTCTCTTTGTGGTTTTACCTCGTTATTTGAAAGCAGCTAAACAGTTTAAATGTCTGTTTATGTCCTTATGATTAAACATTTTGGGTCAGCTGTTTACAAGCCTTGTAAATTTATGTGGATGGATGAACACGCACTTAATCAAAACAATGTCGCAAAAGTGCAGCATCTGCATTTGTCAGTGGCTCTTTTATCTGTGACGCATGTCTGAATAGCTCCCCGAGAAAGGATTTCTCACATCTGTTTAGGGCAGAAGTTGCTGTAAATGTGTTACTCTTCATTCCTTGCATTGAAATGATTTGAAAGGGCAGCAATTAAATTGAGCTTATTAAAAAGGTTATGAGCCTCATCCTGTTTATTGTGCTTGAGGTGTTCATATGGGGAACTTCTACTGTGTTTGGTCTTTTAAAGTGAACATTCACAGAATAGAAATATTAGGCTCCATGTAAGCATAGCCACTGTAATGTGTGCAACAGGTCCTTTTTATAAAAGCCATTCTGACTTGTCACAGCAGGGCATTTAAGTAGGCCAACATGAACAATACCAGGACCTGGCCTATGTATAGATTCTTAGGCTATGTCCACACGTACCCGGGTATTGTTGAAAACGCAGATTTTTCTATGCGTTTGCACCTTTCATCCACACGTAAACGGCGTTTTTGGTCACTGAAAACGGAGATTTTTAAAAACTCCGGCCAGGGTGGATATTTTTGAAAATTTTTGCATTTTGGTGTGGACGAGAAACACAGTGTCAAAGGTGTGCGCATTTTTTGACGTTACACTGTGCGCCACGTTATTGTTTCGGTGAAATGAATTTCTACAATACTGTTACTGTTAATTGTACTCTCTGCAGTGTTTAAATGCTTATACACACACAGTTACTGTCCCTCCACACATACCACTCGGTTCTGCTTCTATGCCCCAGCTTTGTTTACTTCTTCCCACCGAGGCTTCTAGACTTCTGATTGGCCAACATTTCTGCACGGTTAGGAATATAGCGCCACCTGCTGCTTTGGCATGTTCCTAGCAGCGTTTTCCTTCATTTCTGCCTTTACGTGTGGGCGGGATTATTTTTTAAAACGAAAACGGAAAATCTCCGTTTTCAAAAATACCCGTGTACGTGTGGACATAGCCTTAAACTCATTAATAATGTCTCTGTTTAGCTTGCAATGACACGTCAAAACAGCTGCTGCAAAAAGAACATAATTTACAACAAAATGATGCTGGATGATGGAAGATACAGCTTAATGTAAATATGTCCTGGCGCTACCTTTTAATAAAGCACAACCGCAGTTGTACTGCTTTGTGCTTAAGACGATTAGTGAGGAAAAGAAAGTTGGATTTCAGGGCAGAACTAAGATAAGAAATTAAATTAATTAGATCGTACTAACCAGTAAAGAGCAGAAAAGGAGAAGAGGAAAATGCATTTATTTTTTTTATTGCCTCTTAGTGTAACAAAAGGCAAAATTAGCTAGACTCAGACAGATAGGAGATACCGGGACAGATCAATAAAAAACAATTAACAACTCTGAGCTCAGCAGGAGAGCAGCCCCAGCACTAATCACAGAACAGACAAGTAGGTAGGAAGTCTGCTGTCTGTCCCCTCTGCACGGTTTCGATTTCAAATACAGTCGCATGCCGATTTAATCAGGGAGCAGACATCAGAAGCTGGAAAGTGAATTTCCAACTGCCATCCACAGAGAAGAAGTGAAGAAAAAAAGAGGATGCTGCTTCAGAGCAGGAATGGACACAGGAGGTGTAAGCAAAAACCTGGATTGATGATGGACTCGAGGCGGACGGCTTGGGTGGGAGTGGTGGCTTCTTTGCCTCAGTTGGCCTACCAGTCGTCGGTACAGGGCTACTGTTGATGATTGTCTGACTGTAGAGCTGCTCTCTAGTAGCATGACCACTGATCTCTATCAGTGTGTTTTCCAGCTCTCGAATAGTCTCCTCCAAGCTGTCCAGCCTCTTGTAGGTGGTGCGTCGGACATCTTCTGTCATTCTCCTCTGAGTGTCCGCAGACCTAGTTGACCCATAAGAGTTAAGAGTACTGCTTACTGAGCTCAGCTGTATCTCAGGCATTAACCTAATTTCAGGTTTGTGGTGAAATGTCAGCATGCTAGCCCCTGTCTCTATGCCGCTTCTGAGAGCCTCAGCTAGAGACATCTGCTGGTCTGGGGCATGGGAGAATTTTAATTCGAATGACGCCACAAGGGAATACAGCAGTTCGTAGGCCTCTTTGACAGTTTTTTGTACCCTGAAGAGCACTAGCAGAGGCCGGTGACTCAGCTGAGTTTCAGACAGTTCCTTAGTCTGCGGTGAGATGATTAGAGTGTGAAGAACATCTCCTTTAGTCTCACTGAGCTCTTGGGCTTCAAGAGGAGACACCACTCTCATGTCCAGATCTGTCACCAGCAGGGCAACTTCCTGTTCGAATTCACTATCCGAACACTGTTCTCGCTGTGGAGGACTTTCAAATCCCCCTGAATGCTTTCCCCTTGAAATTATAGCCTTGCCGACTGAATGATGACCAGTCCAATCTTGTGATTGAGTCTCCTCCACAAGGTCATTCCCTAAATCTCTGACAGGATCCTCTGAGTTTGTGAGCGAAGCAGGACAGCAATCTGTCAACACGATGTGGGGGACAGGAGACAAGTGCCCTGCCTATAAATGAAGAAAGCACTTGAGTTTTCAATTTAAACACACTCCAAGCACAAACTTCAAGTGAGATTACAAACCATGGTATTAAAAACACCCAAGCACATCAGAAAGCATGAAAGAAATATTATCACATTGTATCTAATACCTTTGTAGATAATGCTACCAGGGTGCTCAGTGTATATTCTTTACATACTGACTCTCACGCACAAAAAAACACAATATTATTAATAAGTGTAAATACCTGTTAAGGTCTGATGACTTTTATAAACATCTCTAAAAAGTTGTGTAACAGGTATAAATGGAAAGGATTAGAAAGATTGTTAATGAACATACTCAAACTGAATCAAATTACTCACTGTCAGACAAACCTGACTCTTTCAGTTATTGTTTTGGGTTTGCAGCGCATTATTGGCAGAAACCTCTGTATAGCTCCTGCCCAGAAACACTAGACAAAAGACAGCCTATAACCCCAGTTCCGAAAAAGTGTGGATGCTTTGTAAAATGGAAATAAAACCAGAAAGCAATGATTTGCAAATCACAAAAGCAATGTATTTTTCTCAAAATTATTTAACCTGAAATAAAAAGGTGCAACAAAAGCCAGAAAGAGCATCTTAGAGATGCAGACCTTCTCAGAAACAAAGGAGGGCTGAGGTTTGCCAATCTACATAAAACTGGATCTAAAAGATGTGGAACATTTTCAGAATAATGTTCCTGAAAATAAAATGAAAGTCTTTATATAGTTCAGCCTTTACAGTATATCATCAAAGGATTTAGACAACCTGGAGAAATCTCTGTGCACAAGGCCAAAAATCAATATTGGATGCCCTCAGGTGGCATTCTCTGTGAATACAGTTCGCTGTGCTATCCACAGCAAACAAGCGGAAACTCTATGACGCAAAGAAGAAGCCAAATGTGAACATGATCCAAAAGAAAATGCCACAATCGTTTGGCCTAAGCTAATTTAAAATCGACTGAGGCAAAGTAGAAAACTGTTCTGTGGTCAAACAAATCAAAATTTGAAATTGGATTTGGAAAACATGGTGCCGGATCCTCTGGACTAAAGAGAAGAGAAATCATCTGGCTTGTTATCAGAGTTTTGTTCAAAAGCCTGCATCTCCGATGGTATAATGGTGCATTATTGCCATGGATTCAGCAGTTTGCACATCTGGAAAGTGTAATACTGATTTTTAAGGCACCAATACTACTTATTGTGCTGGAATAAAGCATTTTCTTACTACATGCCTCATTCCACACATATACATGTGCTTTTATCTAAGCCTAAACACTTTTTACCTAATGTTCACACACTCTTACTTTGATACTGCATTTATTTCAACAGTAAGGCTAAAAAAAGTAAGTCCGTGTGCTGAACTTGCCTGCTTGCAGTTCAGACATTTTACAAATTGAAAATATTTGGTGCATACCACAAATGAAAATACCACAAAAAAACCCATGGCTTCAATATTCAAGCAACTAATCTACTCAGTTCCCACATATATAAGCTTACATAGTTGCAAACATTGCCCTGTCCCAACTTCTGCTGCCATCAAATTCAAAATTCCTTTTTATTTTTACCTTAAAGTTTAAGTTTTTATTTGCATTTTATACAGTGTCCCAAGTTTTTGGAACTGGTGTTGTAGTTAATAATTCTTGTGTGTGGTAGCGGGTGTAGAAGTAAAGAGATGGAAACTTAGTAGGTAGATAACTCAGGGTAAGCCAAAGGGTTACCTCACAGCCTGGGGCCTCAGGGGGCCACAGGTCCAGTCTGGATGGGTGTAAACTTTTCATACTGCATGGGCTAACTAGCAGGGAACGGGGAGCTGGCATAGAGAACCTGTGTGGGGCTCTCTCAAATAGCTGAGGAGGAAAAAAGGAAGTTACAAACTGTCATTATCTGCAAAATAAAAACACAGCAGCAGCTGAATGATCAAACTCAATTACTGTTGAGTCTTTACTCTATTCGGTTTCAGCAGGTCATCTCTAACACAGTCCAAGCAGCTATCAGGATCCATCTGTCTGGCTGTGATCTGTGAGCCCTGGGTGATGATGTGTGTGAGTGAGCAGTATGTGATCTTTGGGCTCTCACAGTGCCAGGGGCTGGGGACATATGGCACCTGCTGCTTGAACATGTGGTAATGAGGGTGAGCATATCTGAACAGACATTGTCTGCCTGTGTGCACACAAAGACTTGCTCCAAATTGTGGACGTAACATGAATACTAAAAACATTCCTTTTGTTTTTTTTTTATGAACAACGGACTATTGGGGATATTATTAACCTTGTGTTTTCTTTACCTCCAATTCGGCAGCAATTTTCTCCTCCTCTCTCTCCTCTTTGTTTTCAGAAGCCAGTGTGGGAGGTGTTGATGAAGGACGAGGGTTTTCGGACACGGTCCTCCTCAGTTTTATGTGAGGTTTCTGTCCCTCTGTCTCTTCAGATTCAGCCTTCTAGGGCCACAAGAACAAAAAGGGGTAAGAACTTGTCCAAAGCTGGTGTGAGAAGCTTGCAATTGTGTCTGAAATATATCAATAGGGGAATTTTATGACTTGTAGATTTGAGGATTAAAACACTGGAATTGTTAAATGCACTATTTTTTTCAGTTACCTTTATGCTTTTTCCAGGAATTAGTGGCTCCCCACTGCGAGTGGTCACACCGGGAGATGAGGGGAAACTGCGTCTAGGCGGTGGAGGTGGAGGGGACTTGGAGGGTTTCTCTGTGCGATACCGAGGTACTGTCAGCTCATCTGAAAACACAGTAACATGTCATTAGAAAGAATTATTACATTATTAACACTGAATTTTAAAAACAATACCATGCCAATAAATCCAATTCAGCTTATGTATGGAGGAATAAAGGTGAGGCTTTTAAAAATATGATCACTGTATCAACTGTAAAGCTTGGTGGTGGTAGCATCATGCTCTGGAGCTGTTTTGCTTCCAGTGGTACCAGCACATTGCACAAATCCACAGCTAGAGACAACTGGGTGTTCCAACAGGAGGATGACCTCAAACGTGCATCAAAACTGGTTTTGTAGTGGATAAAACATTAAGCTTCTGGAATGGCTTTCCCAAATCTCTAAACTCAAAGAAATGGAAATTGAAAATTTGTGGACTATGCTTTTAAGCCAGGTCTGTGGCAAGAAAAAAACATTTTAAATAAACTCTATCAGTTCTACCAAGAGGGGTGGCCAAATATCCAGCCAGACTTACACCATATGGTATGCTTTACATACTTGTTGATGGCTACAACAAGCATAAAGTTGAACTGCAACTTTTAACCTTTTAAAGGAAATTTAACCAAGTACTAGTGGAGTGTTTGTATATAACTGAGTATGTATATTTAATTCCTGTGTGAGGGTCAATATACATTCAAATTAAATTCTTTAAGTCATTAAAGATGTATACTCTTCAACCAATCAACCCTGGAAAAAGAACAGTTTAAAGAAACAATTAAAAGCCCCAAATTACTATAATGTAAGCACAACCGTATGTTTTTAACATGCAGTTTAATAAACTGATTAAATAACAGGGATTGTTTATTGAAGAATTAAAAATGAGATTCATTAAAAAAAAAATAATTGGATGCCATGAAACAAAACTCTGATCTATCATACTAATTCAGCCTGAGCCTCATCTCACCAGAGCCACGCCTGGACCCTCCCTCTTTCCCAGAAAGCTTGTGCTGGGGCTTGTTGGCACGGTGGTCTGGGGTCGCTGCCCCACTCTGGGGGGTCTGTGTTGATGGTGTGTTGGAGGAGGGCTTAATCTGCTTGGCAGCAAAATCCAAATCTGGAATAGCCTTCATTAGTTCAGCCTGGGTCTCTTCCAACAAACGGTTGATGTCCTGAGCACTGTACTGGGTTAGACTGGCCCGCTTCTCCTCCCAGTCCCGCTCTGCTGCCTGTGAAGTTGAGAGGTGGATATGAGCAGTGTATGAACACAAAACT